CGGGGGGGGGGGCTCGGCGGGGCGGCACTTTTTTTTGCTGCTTGGGGCAGCAAAAAAGTTAGAGCCGGCCCTGCTTTCAGTCCTACGATTCTATGAATGTAGGCACCAGAGTGCAGTCCAATTGGCTGCAGTTGAGATTGGAAAAGAAGGTGTGATTCTGTTCCCACTGAAGTCAATGGGAGTTATATTATTGACTTCAGTGGAATCAGGATTGGGACTTTAACCCTTAACTGTGAATTTCCATAATTTTCCTGGGTCTAAGTGAAAGCCGTAGGATTATTTTAATATAATTTTGTAGTTGAATCAAACTGTTTTTTTAATCTCATTGCCATTCTCAGGGAACTATCAAAAATATATTATATTGTAGAACCATTATATTTTTGTGTCTGTTTATTTCATGCAAACAAAGTAGGCCACATAGTCACACAATTAGTGTCAGCCAGCAGATTCTCTCTGCTAGGGAGGGGAGCAGACAGAAATGCCTGCAGCATGACCTGACAGTATGTGGATGAGCAGGGAAGGGAAGGAGACATTAATTATGCTTTTCCTAACCTTCACATGTTTGGGAGTATTTCTTAAATGGAACCTTAGCTCTGAATGTCCAGTCTAGTAATGGGGGGATGCAGAGAAGAGTGACAAGAATGAGCAAGTGCCTGGAAGAGCTCTCATATGAAGAAAGATTGAAAAAATTGAGATTGCTTCCCACAGAAATGAGATGACTAATAAAATTATATAAAATAATGAATAATACAGAGAAAGTAGATCGGGAATTCTGTCTCTCTTCTCATAACACAAGAACAAAGGGATGTTCATTTAAATTAAAAGGCCAGAAATTCAAAATGAATAAAAGGAAATACTTTTTCACATAACGTATGATTAAACTGTGCGGCTTCTTACCATAGGAAGACACCGAGGCCAAGAATTTAAGATTTTAAAAGGTATAGGATAGTTATATGGATATCAAGAATATCCAGAGTTGTCATAATCTATGACAACAATAATTTTGGAAAGGATATTAAACCGCATGCTTTAGAGTATAAACCAACCTCTAACACTTAGACATAAGGGGGGAGACCTCTGTGGGGGCCATACTTGTCTACTGTGGAGTTCTTGTACCTTCCTCTAATGTATCAGTGGTACTAACCACTGTCAGAGACAGGAGACTAAACTAGATGGACCTCATGTCTGATTCAATATGACAGTTTCTATGTTCCTATGTTGTGGGACTGATTTTCACTTCCCAGTCTCCATCTATGTATGCCATTCTGGATTTGTGTACACTTAGATGTAGGTTTACAAATGTTCAAGTGTGCACTACATGTACTGATGGATAGAGCTGGGCGAAATTTTCCAGACAAAACTGTTTTTCACCAGAAAATGCATAATCGGGTTGACCAAAACATTTGTGTCAAATTGTTTCAGTCAAGAACTCCCCTCCACACAAAAAAAAATGAAAAAAATCAAAGCGTTTCAATTCTTTTATTTGAAATGACTTTTTGTTTCAAATTTTACTTCAAATTTATTTTTTTAAAGGTTAAAAAACCCAAAAATGAAATAAAGTAAAAAAAAATTGGGGTGGGGGGGTCAACCCAGAATTTTAAAAAAATCTGATTTTTTGGGTTAGTCACCAAAATGAAAAATCACTTATTTACACAGCTATGCGGATGGATACTAATCTCATAGAGATTATGTAAGAGGCAGACTGTGCCGCATATCCTTTGTAATCTACACAAAGGTGCTGGGAGTTGGGAAGGATAGGCATATGGGGCATTCACCTCAGAGTCATTAGTCTGACTAGTCGTTCCATCCAGGCTGGTAGTGACAGTAAGGGACATTGTGACAGGGCAGCCTGCTCCTTTCTGGCTCAGGAGGCATGGGGCCTGGCAGCCCTATTCAATTAGTACCACCCTACCACACTTGGGCAGGCTGTGGGACTTAAAAGGAAGAAAACTCAGCAGTGTCTGAGGGTGACTGGGGAAGAGTGTGGACTGATGGTTTCTTCCTGAGGGCCAGAGGTCTTTTTGCTGAGTTGGTTGAGGAAGAGACCCAGGGGAGAGCAAGGAGCTCTCCAATGGGAAACCTGAAGGAAAACTTGTGTCTTGAGTCCTTTAAATGTTTTTGGTAATGAAAGAGGTGCCGAGGCTCAAGCAATTAGGTGTCGGGGCTCAAGCAATTTTTTTATTTTCATAACTGATGCAGCAAGCCCAGAGGTACCAGGGCTATGAACTGCCAAGCCTAGAGGTGCCGGGGCTCAGCCCTGGCAAGCCCTGGCAGAAATTAAGCGCTGATGTCTGGGTATATCTTGGAAATCAAATGATTACCCATTTCCACAGATCTTCACTTCTTCCCCATAATCTACAGCGGGAATGGTTTAACCTGGGACTCCTTTCCTTCGTAAAGAGCTACCAGGAATACAAATTTTCCAAACACATTTCAACCAACCTGACTTGAGCTGGAGTATCTCACCTCCTCTCTGTTGGATATTCTGACCCCAAAAGGACCAACAGAAGTAGTGTCAAGCAAAACCAAACAATTCCAGAACTGTGTCTCTGGTTCCCTTAGGAATCTTTTGATATCCTCTCTGAATGTTTCAAGCTTATAAAGTTACATTACGTAATATTGTAAGAAATGCACATTTTCATATGGGACCCAAACCTAAAAGCAATACTCACATGTGCAAGTAGTCCCTTTGAAATCAAAGGGATTGTGATTGTTCATATAAGTAAAATTTTGTAGGATCAGACCCAAACATATTAACTCCTAATGTCAAACAAACCACAATATCTACAGGCCAGATACTCTGCTGGTATAATTTGGCTTAGCTGCCACTGAAGTCAATGGAGCTATGCCAACACACATTTACATCTGCTGAAGATCTGGCCCACTATCTTTACAGAGAGAGGCTTATAATAACCAGTTGTAATCCGCTTGTCTAAACATTGATGCAAGGTCGTGTGCTAATGTGGAAGTGTATTTAGTTGCTGGTATGTGAACAACAGCTAACTAACAATACACTGCCTAATCAGCACATACACAAAACTAGTTCTATTATGGGCCTTAATGCTGCAAGCTCTCCACATATACACACATGCTGTTTCACTGGGAGGTCTTCACTTGGAGAGTCTGCAAGAAAGATGGGCTATATGTGTTACTTGACTTATCTGGGAGTTCATATAATGAAAGAGTCTGTTTTTTGCAAATAAGAACTGCTTAGATACAAATACAAGGCATGGATTTCATCAAATGAATACCAGCACTTGGACACCAGGGTGATAGATGCCTTAAGCTAATATTGAAATACTGTCAAGAAACAAACTTTATTTCTTTTAAAATTAATTTAAATTAGCTGGCTATGAACCATTTCCCTTGAACTGAAAACTGACAGCTTGCCTAGCAATGTGAATGATAAATGATTGTGCATTGATCTAAGGGAGCATCCAATAAGTGTGCTGCAGAAGACAATAACCCCAGTTTTCCTGAACATCTGAATTAATGATCCTGAAGAGGAGTTAACAGCACATTAATAATATTGATAAGTAATGCTACATTAGGAGATGTTGCAAAAATCACTGAGAACAGAGAAATGATACACAAGGATAAAGGGACCAGTCCCACAAAGTTCTAAGCACCTTCTACCATTATAGTCAGTGGGAATTGAGTGGTTTTCAGAACCTAATGGAATTGTACCCATCAAGGGTGTTAACATATGGATAGGGAAAACAATTAAACAATATTCAGTATGAGGCTGATACTTCTTGCAAAGCACTAATGCGGTGATTGTAGCCAGCATGTTATATATATTTGTTAACAACATGAAAAAAGTCAATCTCTTTGGTCTTCATTATGCAGGATCATAACATTCAGATTAGAGTTCTTCTCTCTGTGGAACTGGTGAGAACACCTAGAAACACTACATACATTTTTAGTACTTCAGAACCACAAAGATGTTGACAAATCTGAAGGCACTTGGAGAAGACGGGAATCATTTTCAAGACACTGTCATCATCCCCTGCCCGTCCCCCTTCCCCCCCACCAGTACAATAGTGGAAATGTCATGATGACACTAAAATATAATTTTGGGTATTTGGTAGGACATTTGATTGAACACCTTTGGGGTTGTCAGTTTTTAAACTCTATCAGCTATTAATTGCTCATTGAAAAAAATGTAAATTTTGCCTAATGTTGTTTTATTAATGGATTGACACATTCTATATAAAACAGCAAGAAAATTTCAAAGAAAAGAATTTAGGAAAGTCATTGCTTGTCCTGCTAAAAAAAAAAAAGCTGTCAGTTAATTTGTGATTGTTTGATATGGTTTGAATTCTATTATCTGTCTATCTGACTTAAATATTTATAAGGCCTCCTATCATATTGGTCTCTAAGTGCTGATCAAAATTAAAAAAACATTATAAGAGCTAAACAAAAGTTTTCTCTCTGTACTTTGGATAACAGGAGTGTGTGAAACAGCGATAACAGTAAATATTAGGTTTCACTATTGTTTGATTATACCCTTTACAGCAGAAAATAAAAAGGGCCTACAAGATGCACCATGTAAAATAAGTTTTGCTGCAGTTGGATGATCATAGTATGTGCAATAAGATAGCAGATGTAGGTTAGCTGGTGTCAGATTTTCAACCAGCTAACAATACACTGCCTTCCTAGCACACACATACAGTTACCACCAATGTTCTCACAAGTTGGTGTCCTGATGCCTTCCTAGTTCATCTCATTAAAATAACAGGGAGCTGGCCCTGCAGCAGGTGACAGTGTAGTAGAGACTGCTAGATTCACACAAAGCAGCCAGCTAACAGTACACTGCCTACCAGACACAAGGAGCCTAAGTAAGGCAACATATTTCCTTTCTAAAGACGGTGTGACTGAATTTTATTCGTAACAGGAACTTTGCAAAGTGGAGTGATGGAAAAGATAAAGATCCATTTGAGCAATCATTCCATTTTCCATCTAATTTCAATGTTGCTAACCTCTTTCAAAATTAACTCAATATGTATTTCAACACAAAATGTAAATACTTAGATGCAATAAATATCAAGGGCATGATTCTTATCTTAGTTACACTACTGGAAATACAGACTAATTCCAAGGAAGTCAGTGGAGTTACAATAGTGTAAAGCAGTGTAAAGTGAGATCTGAATCAGGCCCTAAATTGTCAACCAAAACTTCAGAAAGTGTTAGACTAGATTCGCTTTTCATTCACACCAGTTTTACTGGATTTAACTGGAATTACCCTGGATTAACACTGGTGTAACTTAAATCAGAATCAAGCCAAATTCTGCCATTTTTTGGTAGCCATTCTAGCTCATGCCGTGATTCAGCAAGGCAGTTAAGCATGTAGATAACTTAAAGCATGTGAGTAGTCCCATTGACTTCAATGGGCATTTGTATCAGGCCCATAATGAGCAAAATTGATGTTGCTGGTAAAAAAAATCACCTTCACAGTGTTTAATAATTATAAGTTTGGATCTTAGGACTCGTATGGGTAGTGAGCTGTATGGATGTTACTGAAGGCAGAACCAAAGAGGTTGCATGGATATAAATAAGGACAGATTGTGGTCCTCTCTCTTTGCTTTTCAAAACTGGGCTCTTATACCACTCAAAAGGAATTCTATCTTGCAATACTCCTGAATTATCAAAAAAAAAAACCCACGTATATAAACAATTACTTGTCCAATTGCCACGGCTAGGCAGCAGCCAAATGAATGAGTTGGTTAATATGGATCTGATTCCCATCACAGTCCACAAGAGGTTGCCATTTCCATGACTTCCAGGATGCTTTTGAATGCAACAATGTGGAGTGCAGCTAGCAACTGTTCATATATCAAGTACTCAACAGCCAGCTAGCAATGCACTGCCAAACTGTCACATCCTTGTGCTCCATCAGTACTTCTTGGCCATTTGCTGTGTCCCAAAGACAGCTTTCTATAGCTTAGCTATTGTTCAACATGTTTAGTCTAGCATTGTGCCTTCCCAACAGTATTGCTTGTATGAATGTTAACAGTAAAGTAATATACTTGCATGTCAGTGACTACACTTCTGTACTATATTCTGTCTTTAATGCACCCTGCTTATCTTCTGCTCTAAAATTTCCAGTCTAGGAGTCTCCCTTTACATTACCTCCATCCCTAACTGAATCTCACTTAGGATTCTACTAAAGTGACTCACCAGATTTACATTGTAAGCTTTGGAGGTAAGGGCTGTCTGTATTTTGCATCCTGTACATTGCCAAGCACACTGTTGGTGATTAACACATAAAGAAAACTATAAGTTTACATCTATCCACTATGTTTTCACTCTTCATTGTTTCTTCTATTCCTTACCATGCAACCACACAAGTATGTGCCAGCTGGCTTGTGATGCTGCATGGACAGGCATCTCCCCACATGGCTGCACCCACTTCAAACAGATCAAGTAGCTTGTATTCAGTAATCAGTCCCCATAACCCTATGAAGAAAGAATCCCAGTATCTACTTCTGAAGTTTTCATTATATCACTGCCACTTTGCCACTAGCGTAGTTTATGTACATTTTTCTATGGTTTCCCATTATGCATTTAAATGAGCTTCATTTGTAGTGACTCTAATAACACAGGGGAAAAAATCTCTTAAAACTTTATTTTTGTGTTCAAAATTATATAGATTTTCTACTTTTTCTGTCCCTTCCTCCCTGCCCCTAAAAAATATACAAAGCAGATTTTTGTATATGTACTTACCTTAGTGAACTTCTGTAAACTTTGTTTTCTCATCTGCTTAAGGTCTTTCCCAAGTGTTTTCATTATTTTCTCCTTAAAAAAATACAGAAGTACAAACAATGCAATTAAATGTTCATGTATCATCTGAGCAACAACAACTTTTATCCCCAGTCTAAATCACTGGTCACATGAAACCAGATGTTTGTGGAAGATCAAATCCTGCAGTCCTTCCCCCTCTTGTAGCAAAATTATTGAAGTCTGAGGGCCCTTTTCCACACTCTTGCTAAGCTAAAACTCTCAGCTGACTTCATGAGTTCTGCCTGAGTTAGGAAAAAGTATGATCTTTATGACTTGTTCCACAATTATTGTACTGTGTAACTGTGAGAAGATAAATCACTTTACTCTACTCCAGCAAAGCACTGGTGAGTTAGAATAAAAAGAAAAATGAATGACATTTACCCACAACATGTCTTCATCTGTCTTGACCTTCCTAGAAGCAGATCTTTCTAATTTCCACTCCATCTCTGAAGATAAGCTCCTGCCACGATTATCTACCTTAAAAAGTACTTATTTATAATGTAGCTATATTAACTTATGTGCACCCATGCAAATGAACACCACTCACTTTTGAGACACCAGTGTCCTGAGCCAATCTGTCTTTTTGCCTCTCTTCAAGGAGATAGTGATGGGCTAGATGCCCCTAACAGCCACCCTTCTTATTTATACTCCCTATGAGCCTCTTAGCTCTCCTGCGCCTTCTGCCTGCCCTACACTCTGCCCTCTAGGAGCCCCCTTATCCCCTGTCCACCCCTTGTCTCCCCAGCTCCTCCCCGCTACGCTCCCCTCCTCCCCACTCTCACCCTGCCTGTCCCTGTTGAGATCTCCCAGAGGGACCGGCGTGCCATTTAAACAGACCGCACGCGCGGCAGTCAAAGCGGGAATCCCCTGCTCTGGCAGCTGATTGGCCGCCCGGCTCTGTGACTGGAGGGGATTCCCTTCTTTGGAACGCTGGGGCGCGGAACGCGGGCAAGCGGCGGGGCCTGCCCGCTCCCTCCCTGGAGGCTCCTGCTCCCGGGCCCGCGGTGGCTGGGCGGCTCGAGCCTCCGCATTGTCTGCAGCGGGGCGGAGCTGCTGGCAGCAGCGCCAAGGCTCGCGGGGGTCCCTCTGCTGCCACTGATGGCGGGCAAAGAAGCGGGGCTTGGCTCGCCAGGCCCTCCAACGGGCTTGGCGGAGCTGCCCTGCCCCCATCCCAGCCTGCTTGCCGCCCCACCGCAGCCGGGGGCGCGTTAGCTGGAGCTGAATCGCAGAGTTGCGGGGCTGAGGATCGCTCGGCAGCAGCAGCGATCCCGGCTGCAGGCGCTAGGAAGCTGAATCTCCCGAGCCTGCAGCTACAGAGCTGAGGAGCTGAAAGCCACGCGCTGTCTTTAATCAGATGTTACGTTGGGCTCTTTCTTCCTCCCTTCCCTCCTCCCCACATTTCACTTTATGCCAAACGTCTGGGGGGTGCGGGACAGAGAGGGGGAGACCGAGGAAAAGTGCATGAAATGAAATGACAAACCAGCGAAATATTTTATGCCACCCTTTAGCAAACGTCTGTTTTCCCTTTGGAAGTGTGAATCTTGGCCCGGTTTGGATGCAAAACCGTCATCACAGGCCTGTTTAGTCTCTAAAATGGATGCGGTGGGCAGGGGGCAGGGGATGTGTCTGCTTTACTCCAGAAATAATGGGCATCGACAAGTCCTCCCCTCTCTTCCTAAGAAATGGTCCTATTCATCCAATTAATCCTTGATATATTGATTTATTTGGAAATCTGTGTGCTGTCATGAGCATAATCTGTTGTCGTTAGTGTGATGTGATTTTGCAAGTACTACACTATATGTGATATCACTAATGCTGTAACAAAAAAACTCCTTGATTTTTTTTTTTAAAAGGGTATGTCATTTATGTTTTGTGTACGGTATGTGGAGAGCAGTGTTAGAAACACTGCTGGCCAAGAGCATTAAACACACCACATAAAAATATCTCACAGATTTGATTTGAACTTCTGGGAATATTCACGTGTGAAGCTACGCACCTATGTGACCAGTTTCAAGGACAAGACCAAAGTATGCCGTGAAGAAGGCAGATGAGCCACTACCACCTTCCTCTAGGGTGGTAAAGTGGGTAAAAACACTTTCCCACTTTTTCTAAACTTCCTCTGGAAAGACTGGACTATTCTGATGAGAAATTTTTAAAAGGAGATTTTTCCTTTAAATTATTTTGCAGGAAAAAAATCCCAGTTTCACAACCAGTTTTAGTTTTATAGCTGCGTGGCTGTACACACAACTCCTAGAGTGAAGAGGAACTGGGGAAGCAAGGTCATGAAGGAGAACGTTTGCTAGCACTTTAGCTTTGAATACTTAAATGAATACCACACAATACAAATGAAATAAATTAAGCAGAAAATATATTGTAAGTGTGTCATTTCATAATCCCACAATTTATTTGTGAAATAGAAAGTGTCTGAGTCACTTAACCTTGTTTTAAATGATTTCTTTAAAAACAAATAATACACTAGGTTTTGTAAGCATTTCACCCACACACGGTTGTATTTGCAACACTTCAGATGGTCGTTTAACTGAATATTAATTGCTCTTCAGTAAACATTGTCATATAATGTTACAGTGCATAATAATTGGACAGTAGTAAATGCTGGCATGCATTACAGCATGTGCAACCACCAACATGGTGGATAAATAATAGTTAATAATTCTTGCTTGGTTATTGCTTATGTATAGGGAATTGTAATTGTCATTTTGGACTAGATTGTGAACCTCTTGTTCACACTGGTGAGCAGTTCTTTACCTGAGTAGCCTCATTGAAATGAATGGAATGGGACTAGTCATGTTTAAGTGTTCAACAATGTGAGCAAGGGGTTCACAGTCTGGTCTTTTGTGAGCTCTTCAGTGAATTTGAAATGGAGTAAAATCCTAAAATAACATTATTGGCCTTTGTTTGTCAATTTGAATTATGATCTATAAAAATGTAATGTGTGGGGTTTTCAAAAGTGCTCAGCTTTGGCCTAACTTTGCTTCTGTTGATCCCAATTTTCTTTGCTTTCTGAAGATTTTAAAAATGTATATTTCATCACAACACAGCCACCTTAAGACCAATCCAAAATAAATAATATTCATTCAACAGTCATGTCAAAATATAAATGCAATAAAAACCCTTTAGAAGAAGAAACAAAAACGATACACATGCACATTAATGATATATATTCATCTGCCTCAAATGCAAGTCCACAGTCGTAGCAAAATTTCTCAAGGATATATAGTTCTGCACCTTCCTATTAAACTACATATAAGACTTCATTCTCAAGAACCCTGTTATAAATACATTGCCAAAAATCCATTGTCGGTTGATAAATTTAACTTATTAATTTGTATTACACTAGTGGCTATAGGCTCCAATCAAGGGCCCGTAATGCTAGTCAGTATACACCCATATAATGAAAATATGCCCCAAGGAGCTTTCAGTTAAATATATGATGAGAAAAGAGGTGGATACAAAAAGCAGAGGGGGGAAGCACAGTGTATCTGTGAAACTATTATGATTTGAATACTAAGCAGTGATCAGAGCACACCAGTTTTCTAGTCATTGTTAGGTGTAGACATCAGGAGTGATTTTTTAAGGAGAAATTTGAAGGAAGATAATGTAGTGGATTTGGGTGGCACTTTTTGTAAATCTCCTATGCATGTTGGGTAGCAAAGGAGAAAGCATGATATACTGGTAAATGGGCAATATTTTATCTTAAACATGTTTAGATACCAAAATCAAAATAGACAAAAAAAACACCCACCACACAGAAACCACTCTGAAAAAAAATTAGAGTTAGGGTTGTTGTGAAATATGGATTTAGTTGTACTTGGTCAGAAAAAAGTGCTTACTGATGAATACAGTAAGACTTATGTTCCTTAATACTCATTTCCTTGTTTTAAGTGTGTGGGGGTTTGTAAACAATGTGATAGGTAAGTACAATGTTGTTGCTTAGGAACCTTAACTGAATTTTGAAACAAAAAGTGTTTTGTTTTTAGAATAGCAGTTAAGGGCTGCCTTTCTTTGCATTATTCAACATCTTTTCCATTGGGCATTTCTTATTGCCTTAGGAGCTGAGAGAAGCTTGCCCCACATACACACCCTCCCTACAATTACAGGTGGGTCAGGTGAGCTCTTTCAGGCCTCTTCCGATTGCCCAAGAGATAGAGAGAAAGTTCTGATAGGCTGATAGCCATCACCAGCATTACCACACTTAAACAGTCAGGCCTCTTTACCAAGAAAAAAAGATACCTTTCTCATTCCCATTGCTCCTTCCTCCCCCCTCCTTCCCATCCCTTCTCTTTGGAAGTCAATGAAAGCTTGAGTGCTCAGTACCTCTGAAAAGCAGGCAATTTATTTAGGTGCATAAATCTGGATTTAACTTCCTAACTTTAGGCACCTACATTTAAGAATGTGGCCTTAAATTCTCTGCCCCATGTTCCCTATCTATAAAATAGGGATTTGGCTGCTCTTGCACCTTTGTAAAGTGGTTTGAAACCTTCAGATGGAAAGTGTTAGAAAATTGCTGCATATTATTCTGTAAAGTACTTGTGAGCGTAGGAGAAGAAGCCCAGAAAGAGCATTAGGAGTGAATGGGAACCACCGTCCAGGCAGAACAGCATACACAGAGGATTCTTGTCTCTCTGCCCCATCCAGTTGCTCACTGCTTTGTGTGTGTCAGTAGGAGCTGTGAGATTGCAAAGGGGAATGAAACAGTAAGAAAAGAGTGGAGAGGACCCTAAATTTGCAGAGAGGAGGGTAGCAGAGACATTCCCCAGAGCCTGTAGCAGCTTCTCTGTGACAACTCTGTGCAGTTGGGGTTTTGCATGTATTTATGGGAGCCATATCAGAGTGACAGATGGAGCCAAGGAGTAAACAGTCTCAGTGACAAGTTCCCCTTTAATTCATTCCCTGGTTCCATGCCCCCCCTAGGTATTAATCCTACTAAATCAATAGGTAGGTGGGAGATTTTCCTTTGTGCCATACATTACACACATTTTGTTTTGGGTCTCACTAAAGCAGATTTATTAAAATTAAAGAAAAGAACAACTCTTATAACAACCGTATAAAGCAGTTTAGAATCAATTGGATTGTGGGCTTCACTTTGCACAGATAGAATCAAATCTTTGATCCCATGTTGGTCTCTTTGCATCACTCTGGGTTCATGTTGTGAGCTAATGATCAGCCCTTGCTGTAAGCTGGTGTAGTTTTAAGCAGCCCTGAGGCTGCTTAAAACTAATTTCTCTGGGGATCGGACTAGCAGAAAACTGACCTAAAGATCAGGGAGAAGCCGACAGCTTCTGTTGTTCTCAGTGCTTATTTGGAGCATCTAAGGAATCAATCCATGGTATTTTTAAACTGAAGTTTCTTCAGAGTTAAACAGAAAAACCAAAAGCCATTTTAATTAGGAGGCCTCTTAAATATCACATTGACTCTATTTAACA